ATCTTTCTTAGGAATGGCTAGCTTTTTGCATTCCTGGGTTCCTTCTTTTCCCCTACTTTCTCATCCCTTATATGAAGCAGCATTAGGTCCCACCCACGAACCTCTTCTCAAACCCATTACTAAGCCCTTTCAGAGGCTTCAACAGGCTCTCCTTAAGGCTCCAGCCTTACATCTCCCTGACATGACTTGTTCTTTTTCCCTCTACGTAACTGAAAAGGAGGGATTTGCCCTTGAAGTCTTAGGTCACCAACTGGGACCATCTTTTGCACCCGTATCATAATGGGCACCTTGTATTTGTATCTTGGCAGCTGCTGAAATCCTTATATGAGAGTCAAAGAAACTAACCTTGGGATAGCCAATAACTGTACTCTCTTCTCACAACCTGTCACAGCTCCTAACTTATAAAGACTTACAGACTCTACCTCCCTCCAGGGTTCTTTCTCTTCAGGTAGCTCTAATAGAAGACTCCATCCTCACCTTTCAATCATGCCCACCTTTTAATAGTTCCAATCTTCTTCCTCGTCCTAATATTACTTTCTATCTCACTCCTTCACTGAAATCTTAGAGGAACTATTACCTCATCCTTCACACATACAGGAGGGCACATTGCCTCAAGCCATCTTTTCCTGGTATACAGATGGAAGCTTCTTTCTACATGAAGAGGCCAGGAAGGGTGGTTATGCCATCCCAGACACCAAGGTGGTGGAGGCACAGGCCCTTCCTGCCCATACCACCAACCAACAGGCTGAACTAATAGCCCTTACCCATGCCTTCCAGCTGGCACAGGGATGATCCCTCAACATCTACACAGCTTCCAAATATGCTTTCCATATCCTCCTGTTCCATGCTGCTATCTGGAAGGAGCATGGGTTACTTACCACAAAAGGAGGATCAGTAACTAATGAAAACCAAATTGTGGCCATGATAAAGGCCTCCCATCTCCCCACAGCTATTGGGATTGTCCACTGGAGATCTCATTGGATGGATGACTCTATTGTCTCCAAGGGAAATGACCGAGCTGATGAGGCAGCTAGAGCTGTGGCCCTTAGGTGGCTAGACTCATCTCACCCTCCCCAGGACATTCTTACACTGCAACCCACATCCCCATCTATACCTCCTGACACTCGTCAAATTCTGTCCTATCTTCACCAACTCTTTCATCCTAAGAGCCAAGCATTGTCTTATGATGTCTTCAGCAATATTGACTTGCCTTCCACCTCTGGGTGATAACCAACTTTAAAAGCAATAGCCTATAATAGTCTCTTAGACTCTCAAAACTAACAATTCATAATTGGGCTTCTCAAGACTTGTACTAGAGTTTTTGGTAGATAGTCTGTGGCTGTTTGCTGGAACATTGTCAGTCCACATGGGAAGAACATGTATTTCTTGACATATATATGCCTTACAAAAAACCCAAAATACAAACACAAGGAACAAAGAACAAAGCTACCCTGTCAGAAGATATTCATTTGAACATCTTTTTCTAGGTTTCTCATGTGTACTCGCAACATTCACTTTAGGCAACTGAGTGTGAACAGTATGGATCATGTTTTTTTTCATATGGTGAATATTTTTCAACTCAAAATTCCATTAGCACCCCAATAATTAAGAATATATTGTACCATCTCAGTCTGTCAGTCTAATTTATAATCCTGTCTTTCATGACAACAAAAATTTCAAAGAAGACAAACTATGACCACAAATCTCTTGAAAAAAAAAAGGCTAGTTATAGCACAAATAAAATTTTGCTTTATCTAATGCTCAATTTAAATGGAAACACAAAGTGACAGACTACACTAGGTATAGTATTTGTAAGAGTTTACATTCTAAAGTATTACCAAGGTTTGTTCCCACTAAATGATGCATTCCTCTTGTGAAGCCTTAACAGTCATATGCATCAGTGGTTCTCATCAAAACATGATTCTTAATACACCGGTGCGTGTCTCATCCTGTATGCTTTCTTCAGCCCCTGTATGGCCATCCTCACCAACGTGTCTTGACTCACACTGCCCAGAACTCGTATGAGAAGTCTATGTTCAAGAGACATCATTTCCCTCTTATATTCCTAAGATGGTTAATTCACTAGTTATGCGCGATACTGTGCACTGTGGAGGACATCTGTACATTTTAGATGCTTGGGATAGTAAGCTTTGGTTACAAGAAACGATTATTGTCAACCTCCTTCAAAGGAGAAGCTAATATCTAGCAGGTGATCTTCCCGAGATGAGTGCACCTTGGATTATAATCCATGATGGATTTGTCTGGTAGGCAAGGTCCAGGAAATTTATTTTAGGAAAGGTTGTGCTACTAATATGCTCTACCTATTATTATTAAACATATATAACAATCACTAGATATTAGTCCACATTTTTGAGCAGATCTCTGCAGAACAACAAAGATATACTGTCTTATAGTGATGCTATATAAATAGACGACTTCTTAATCCTTAATGACAATCCTATAAGAATTCCTAAAATTATATTAGTGATTACTAAGCTCTTTTATAGTGGTCCTGCTGTTAGGTTCTTTCTGATAATAAAAACTGTAATGAGAATTATTCAAGTCTTTAGTGTCATGAGTTAATTGTTTCTGAGAGAGCAAGAAGGCATGTAGTACTCAGAGCTCATTCTAAGAGGTTGTAAAACCATTAACCAAAGGTCATAAGAAGGGAACTAATATTTACTGTAGGTGCTAGGACAGAAGATAAAGTATTGACTGGGTTTATCTATACAAAACTTCATTAATACCTTAGTCATCGAAAGGTTACGGTTCTTAACTCTCAAAGAACCTGTTCAGGTTGGGGCAGACGATGGATGTTTAGCTAGATAATTACTCCTGATGGATATGACTGTAAACATTTTCTGTTGTAAACTTCTTATTAGATTTATGATTTGAATTTATGTGTAAACATGTGATGAAATTTTTATCATGTGATCATGTATTTTGAAAGATGTATATGTGCTGAGGACAAAGAGAGGAAAGCATATTCTCCCTGTCTTCTTTTCTTAACAGTCTCCTAATCCCTCCTTTCTTAGCACTGCTTATCCTCTTCTCTCTTAGACCCCTTAGTTCCCATTTCTTACAAACCCTTTCCCCCTTTTTCTTAGAGAGCTTTCATAGGAAACCTTTTTAGAACTTAGAAATAAAGTCTAAAATCACTTTTCAGATTGTACCTTTGTCTTCCTGTGATTTAAATTTAGCAGGCTGAAAGTTAGAGCCATGCAGTTCCCACAAATGTAGCACAAAGGCTACTTAATCTCCTATTGTTTCATGATGAGATGCTAAACAGTTTCTCACCTCAGAGATACTCAAATGGCAGGTCAGCTACTGAAGCAAAGTGACTTAAACTTTAGGCCTGTATAAGTTTTATTATGATACAGCAGTCCTAAATATCTCATAAGACCATGTCTTACCATTGATTATGCTCTTCCCCCTCTGCTTCCTCAAGTAAAATCAAACAAGAAAGAACACCCACTGGGGCTGGCCTCTGGCAAGTTATTTTTTTTTACAAAAGTTCATATATAAACATTTGGTATAATTAAAAAAAAATGTGTGTGGAGATACTAGCAAAATGCCGCTATGTTATTTGATATTCACCTTATTTTTCTACCTTACACTGGTGTACTCTAATGAGAACTTTAATATCTGAATTACACACGTACACATATAAATGTACACATGCATACATCTACACATACAAAAGCAGACACACAAAAGCACACACACACACACACACACACACACACACACAGGTTTGCTTCCTGTCACTGTAATAAACAACATGACCAAAGCTATTTGGGGAAAAAAGTAGGTTATCATTAAGCACTTCCAGGTTATAGGTCATCTTTTCACAGGTTTATGCCAGAAACTTAAGGAGCAGAGACCATGGAGAGTAAGACAGGTTACTGGCTTAGCTAACTTTCTGTATTGCTTAGCTAACTTACATATATAGTTCTGGCCTAACTTCTTAATGACAGCACAGCACATAGTGAACTAGGCATTCCTATAAATCAATAAGGAGTTTAAAAAATGCTTCACACACACAACCACAGTCCAATCTAAATTTTGAGATTCCCTCTTTCCAGGTGACTCTCAGTACGTGTCAAGTTGACAGCTAAAGCTAACTGACAGTCATAACAAAATGTGCTCACTGCTTTGTTCTTTTGTCTTTTAGAAAACAACATTTAGATCAACAAGAAGCCACAAATTAAATTGCATCATTCCCCCAATAAAAAAAAAATCATGATTCAAAAAAAATGTACATTTAGAAATGTGGCTGAGAAAATAATTCATTTGTTAAAAGTGCTTGCTTTATAAGAACCAGGACCTAAGCTGGATCTCAGAATTTTATTGTTAAGTGTAGGTGTGGTGGCTGGCAATTGTAAGCACAAGCCTCAGGAGATAGAGAAAAATAGATTGCTAGAGCTTGTTGGCTAGCCAGACTACACTACTGAGTTCACTCCAGGCCTGTGGGAAGCCTTGCAACAAAAAACTGGACAGCCTAAGTAAGAACAATAGAGTTTGTCTGTGTCCTTCAGATGCTTGTGCATACATGCACATTCAACTTCATATATATATATATATATATATATATATATATATATATATATATATGTATATGTATATATATATATATATATAATTATATAATGGCCAAATAATAATGGCTTCTGGTTCCTAGACCAGTTCATCATAATGTTGACTGGAACCAATGAGAAGATCTAAAGATCTATAAGCTTATAAGAAATGTAATTCTACTACGATTTCTTGTTAAAATATTAGTTTTAATACAGTTGATCTCTGTATATAAACCATTATCACCAATGTATAGAGTTTGATAATAAAAAGAAATTAATCAACTGGGAAATGACATTTGCTTCTCTTTTCTTTAGTTTGTTCCATGAGAGTTGGAAATCCTTGGAGACTATGCTGCCATGATATCTGGAGCTGACATCTAAAAGTCCAGGGTACAGCTTCAGAGAACAAGAGGCAGAACTGCTCAGGAGATTGTGAAAGGTGAGATTTTTGCTAACTCCAAAGCTGAAGAAGCGCTTGGAGATGTCAGATTATCATTAGATAAACTTGAAAAATAGCTCTGAAGTCTTGCTCTCTCATCACTGATGACTGTCAGGTGCTTAGCACTTGAGATGGACCACAGCAGCATTAGTGATTTTGCAAGTGGCAAGTAAAATTTGGTGCTGAGACTTCTGGAAAGAAGTAGGGTGGGTGTATTCACCCAGAAATATGATTAAATGTTATTAGAAGTGATGAAAAGAACCACTGTGAAAAGTCAGGAAGTACTCCCAATTATCTTTGTTAATTCAATATTTCAGAAAACAATGTTAAAAGCTTATGGGACGCACGTGCCACTTTTTAAGTTCCATCCATCACCTGAGTTTTGCCCTGACTCACAGGTTAATTCTTTAGAATATATAAGGACATTTCAGTCAATTATGATGAAACAGAGATTGTTCACAAGTTTTAAACTTGAAAGGAATTTTAAAAAAAAAACAACACCGTAAACCGTTATGGGAAAATTGATAGGGCAAATTGAAATAGTTCTCTCCTCATCTCTGACTGAAAATACTTTATGCAGAGAATCAACTTCCAGTTTCCCCATTTTAATTAGTATTTAGGTAGTTAAATGCCTTAAACCATAAAATAAAATTCTTTTTCATTTTGTTTCCTTAGAATATATTAAAATTGCAATAAATCACCATGTTACTTAAGAAAAAGTGATTTCCGGATGATTTTTATTCTGTCAGTGTCCTTCTTTAAAAGGAGGCATCTACCATTGATTTCATTACCCAGATGCCCTTTATTCGTGTGTAACAGTACTTCTTACTTCTTGAACACATACACAATGGTGTTATCATCACAACATAATGGGATGAGTAGTGGAGAGATGTTTGTAACAGGAACAAACAGGCTTATCCAACATAAAGAACAAAACTCAATAGCACAGCACATTATGAATCTTTCCTAATGTTCTGACTGCATGTCTTTGAATTGTAATGTTTATTGTATAATTACATAAATCATTTTCACACTATGGTTACTGCATATTTATAATTGATGTCTTAGATGTCCATTTCCTATGCATCATCCAAGGATATATGGGCTTCACTGAGTAAGGATTTATGCCTTGAAGTTTTCATATGGATTGCATCAAATCACTTACCATGGATGTGAAGAAATATATTTTCACACCTAAACTTATATGCTAATAATATATATTAATACACTGTAAATTTTTAAAGAATTGTCTTGATATACGGATCCATTTCTTTGGTTCTTTTTATCTTCTATGGACGAAGTTGTGGTAAGTTTGAAGGCAGGCTGGTCATAAAAAGCAAACCTTGCCATGAGAAATGGGTGATGTCCAGCTCAATTTTAATTCAAAAAGAAAAAGTGTTCATAATGTTTGACTCTTTACAGCCTCTTATTTGCAGTTTCAGTTATAACAACTATAATGCAAATAATTAATCTCAATTACAAGGTTAGACTTTGTCTTCTATGTTACAGAATTTATAACCCACTAAACTAGCTTTGGTTAGGGACCTAATTTGAAAGAGACTATGATTCAGTATAACATATTTGGTGTTTTTAGTTTAGCCTGATAATCATTTGGGTATTTTAAGGTGTTTTACAAGCAAAAGCAAATTTCAGAGAACCAACTATCTGAAATCTATATACATTGAAATATGTTGATAGTAAGAACATCTTTTTAAATGTAAAATACATAAAAATAATTAGCATTATATATTTGGATTGAATACAGGGAATGGCAAGTTTTTCCATTGTGATTTTACTCAAATATTTTGCTCATTGTGTATTACTGTGAATATTGGTACCTGTATGTAGTTATGATAAATTCATCAGGATATGATATTAAACTCAATTGCATGTTTTATTGCCTCATCCTTCCAGTTTTATTTTGTCAGTAAATCTTATCATTTATTTAAAGCCTAATTTTAAATACTACATGCTAGTATGGTAGATTTAGGTTGTGAGATTTTTAAAGGAGAATGAATGTTTACTTTACATTTTACTGTTGCAGTGACCTAAGGTCTTTGTCATTTCCTTTGTATTTCTGCAATATTTTGAGAGAGGGGGGAGAGAGGGAGGGAGAAAAAGAGAGGGGAACAGGAGAGAGAGGAGTCACAGAAAAATGCCGTAAACTGTCCTTGAAACGTAACATTAGACTGATTTTACATAATCTAATGGCTCCCAAATGCAAAACTATTTAGATGTCTTATAGTTTTACAGTTTCATTCTTAATATGTTAGTCATTTTAGGTCTCTACATGCTACCTAAAAATATTTTTATTTATCTAGTTTGTCATAGGTTAAGAGCTCTATATTAAATACATTTTGAGAGATGAATGATAATTTTGAGAATACTTTAATGGTTTTAAAAGCTTCCAGTCTATCTACAAGAAAGCATAACTTCCAAATATTATGTGGAAGAAGAGCCAATGGCATTGGCTTAGTGTAACTGAGTACAGAATTTGGAAAGGTGATTTGATATTAAAAGTCAGTGAGCCTAGAAATAGAATAGAAGCAAAATATTTACAGCTGTGTAGTTGGTCTAGAGAAAAGCTAGAAATTAAACTGAAGCTGTTCTGTGGAGATTCAGTTCTCTCATGGGGATAATGCTAAGAATATAAACAGAAAATATTCTCTTTTCTGCTTTACTTTATCAGTATGTTTACATTTTTGCATTGGTAACCTCTTATTAATGTTCTAGTCATCTTAGGGGACTTTCATGAATAACAGTATTGGAAAATAAGTAAATTAATACACATTTCATGTTCGTATTATTTTACATCTAATTGAAAAGTAACCATATGCATTACTCTCTTAGAAATTAAGGCAATAACTGGGCAAAAAAGATGACTCAGATGGTAAATGCACTTGTCACTCAATCCTGTTGACCTTGATTCTATCCTCAAAATCTACATGGTGGAAGGAGAAACAGGTTCTCCAAAGTTATTCTCTGGCTTTCACATGTGTGCCACGGCATACACTTGTGAAGACACACATCATAAAACAAACATAGAACAGTATTAATAATAATAATAACAATAACAATAATAATGACAGCATTAAAAAAAGACAGTAAATCATCTGTCAATAGTGTATGTACATGGTGAATATTTAAGAAGAAAGCTTCTTTTTGTACATGATATATATCTAGAGTTTCAAGATTCCATTATTTGTAACCTTTAAGATGCATAATTTTTAAACATCAGGTTATATTGATTTTTTTACTATAAATTCTGAAATGATCCAAAGCAGATGAAGATTGCTTTAATTCTTAAATGCTATGTCTTGATTCCTTAAGTGCTATGACTTCACATGTGATGTTTACTAGCTGGATTATTGTAAACCTATCCATAAGTCTGTGAGATTTGGTTTCTTTAACACATAACATATTTAAAAGCACTACTGTGGTAAGTTCTTTTCTCATTAAGCTGTTCTTCAATTTCTTTCAGGACTACTTGAAAGCTTCAGTATATGAGGATTATGTGTATTTTAGTAGATTAAATTTGTTACTATAGTGCTCATATTTTATGTCATTTGCATTTCATTTTTTTTATTTTGAAATACAATTGAAATGTTTTATTACAAGAGCGTACAGTAGTAATATAGACAGGCAGAATTCATAGTTTGACATCCAAAGACTACCAAATATAAAGATTTCAGTGAGGCCCTTACCAAGGACAAAACAGGTTTAAATCTGTACAGCAGCAAAAAGAAAATGTGTCCTAGCTTAGTGAGAAAAGTGTGACTCAAGTTTGAAAAATTAAAGTAATAATATGTTAATCAGAATTTTTAATGTAATTATTAATGTGCTTTGCTTAATAGGTACTGGAAGACCATTCACAAAGTCATTGTGCATATGGAATATCCTTACAATATAATTAAACTATAAACCAAGATATATACAAATATATACAGTCTTTATTTTGGGTTGGTTTAATCTTTAGCATGCTTTGATAATGTTTTTGAAAAGTTTAAAAGAAAATAGTGTTAGTTATGGGTTTTACCCTGGGGCGAGAAAATGGTTCAATACTTCCATGGTGTTTATGACCACATTGTACCAGTGAGATTGTCTTTCAGTCCAAATGTCAATATTGCTCACAGGGTTCAGAGCTGGAAAAGATTGTTGAGTGCATTTTTTTTTCTAGTAGTGTCCAGAGTGGCTTCAGGCACTATGAAAGCTAGCCATTAGTGATGAAACTTCCAGGCCAAGTCAGATTTGTTGATATTTCCACACCCTGTGATTCAAATAAAGGGTGTCTTCAGCGACAAGGTCATACCATTGAGCTCTGTAACAAATAACATTGAGAAAAGCCTTTTAGTTTTGCAGGAGTTGATGGGACCCCATTTGCCAACAACTCCATATAGATAGTGCATTCAACCAAGATGGTGGATGGATACAAATGAACAATGTCTTCCAGACACAAGGGGACAGCTGTACATTTTAACTCACAGGGATTATGATAATATACAAAATTCTTGTGCAAGCACAATCCAGACCATATCTCTGTATGGACAGGCAAGGCCAGCATGCATTTCCTCCTCTAGCTGAGAAGCTACTAGTCATTGATGGGTGCTGGGAGAGGGAGTTTCATTTTCTTCAAGAACGTTGCCCTTGTCAACCATACATCTGTAGAAGGCCATGTATCTGAAAGTAGATGGGTAGCACAGACTGGGCAGGATGGTTGAAAAATGAGGACACAGAGTGGGTTGGATCTGGGCAGATTTCAGAGAGGTGCTGAATACCACCAAAAAACATTTTATAAACTTCTTGAAGAACTAATTAAAAAATAAAATAAAAAAATGACCAAATACAGTTACAAAGAATAATGTAAAAATTTGTAATTTGTAAGAGTAGATTCAATAGATATGATAATATAATGACACATTTAAGAGAAGAAACCTTTAAAAAGCTTGAAATTTGTAAATTTACCACATCTGTTGAATGATGAACAACATATGAAATATTTCTAATGGGATATATTGATAAATTCGACACATAAATGACTGTGAGACATAGTTAACGAAGTTTAATGAGATACTTGTAGCAAATTACAATGCTAAAATAAATGCATTTTAAAATACTGGCTGAAGCTTTGCTTAAAAAGAAAATTAAGTAGTACCTGGTGGTGTGGCACAGTCCTAAGTCAATGCAATCAGGGCTTTTGTTTTTCTTTTTTCTTTTCTTGGCAAACATTTTAAGATATTTTTATTGGATATTTTCTTTATTTACATTTCAAATGTTATTCCCTTTCCTGATCCCCCCACCCAGAAACCCACTATCCCATCTCCCCTCACTCTGCTTCTGTGAGGGTGTTTCCCCACCTACCCATTCACTTCTGCCTCCCTGACCTGGCATTCCCCTACACTGGGGCATTGAGCCATTTACGTAAGAAGCTTGTCAGTTCTAGGCCAGCTAGACTATACACTGAACCTTTGTCTCAAACAAACAACAATGGATAAGAAAAGAAACATATAGAAACATAAAGAAGAGTAGCATGACAAATAAAATACAAAATATAACTTGGACAATTTGTATAACTATGCAAGAATATTTATTGATTAATCAAGGTGAGTAACTTCTAGAATGGACAGTCAGTCAAAATTACTGATACTTACTGGTATAAGGTCCAAAAAGAAAAATCGTTAGTTAAAACAAACCACACACACACACACACACACACACACACACACACACACACACACAAAGGATATCATTACAAAAATACAAAGAATTTGATCACTGGTACAGTTTTCAAATGTGTTGTTATTTCTGCTTTAGAAAAACTATTATGAATACTCATATACAGTAAATTAATTTGACTGCTAAAATTTTCACAAGTAGTAAAACTACATGCATCCATATTGCATATTTTCAAATATTAGTTGGAAAAATCATTTTATGGCCATTCCAGCAATATAATGCTTTGGAAATATATGCTATTGCTTTCTTGTGTGATTCATTCCTTTATAAATGCTAATTAAGATTCTATTTTATCAAAAAAAGTATAATTGAATATTTGAGCTGTTTCCTAGTTAAACTTTAATAGATAAATTAAACAAACAAATGAACAAATACATCTTTTAGAATAGTTTTTACAAAATTTATGCTATCAATTATACTGAATTAAAATTGAAAAACATATAATTTGAAGTTCATAGAAGATATGTTTTCACACTTACACTATGCCGTCAAGCTAGATTTGCAATGTTTCATGATTTTAGATTTCACAACACTACCAAGTGATGTGTGATGAGTTTAGCTAGTCTTCATCCATATTTGGCATTACTATAACTATTCAAAAGCCATTCTAATGTACTTGTATGAAAATATATCATTTTTATTTCATTGGTGTTTAATCACAATGAGTATATGATTACACACATATTCTTCACATATTGACTTTGCAAACATCTTATTTTATAAGGTTTATTTTTCATTAATATATTTACTTTACTTTAGAAAATTGTTATCTTTATCGTATCACTAATAGAAATATTTTATGTTTTTCATATAAGCCCTTTGACAGATGTATTTATTCACTGTGGGGTTGTGACCATATTTTCATCCATTTAATCTTTAAATTATTTTTATTGTTTCTTTGACAGTTTCATAAACATCTTTTGATCCTATTCAATCTCCGTTCCCAACTCTTTTCAGGGCCATGCTCCGTCCTTTCCCATGCAACTTTGTGTTCAGTTGTTATTGTTTTCACACCAGAAGCAATTTTTCTCCTCCATGTATTCATGGATATGTGATTTCTCTCTGTTGTATGGTCAACTTGTTTGATACTACATCTTGAGAGAAAACTAATATGCCCTCTCAGCAGTAAGAGAGTGCCAAAAGCTCATCATTAGGGGTGAAATCTGTGTGGAACGCCCTGTTCTATGCTGGCACTTGGTCTGATTTGGCTGACACAGATTCTTTGCATGCTGTTACAATCACTGTAAGTCATAGGAACAACTGTTACACTGTGCCCTGATACACAGCTTTCCTGTAGCTATCTATCACCTCTGGACCTCACAAATTTCCTAATCTACTTTGCAGTGATTCTTGAGCCATTGGAGAAGGATTGTGGCCTTAAGTTTAGATGATGTACAAATTAATCTTCCCCCAATCTGCTATTATATCATTTTAATTACATTCAAGTATTATGGTCATTTCTAGGTTGAGGAAGTAGCAATACAATAGGTGCAAATAGTCAAGGAACAAGCAAGACAATAAACACAAATAGTCAAAGAACAAGCAAGGCAATAAACAAAGTCCCATGATCACTCCTGTGATCACAGTTTCTAAGAGCTTATCAGGATGATCAAATATCTGAGCCTACTTTCCTGTCCTAGCCCAAAGTTATTTTCATGCTCGAAATCTACTTTTTTGTTCAAGACTAGTATTTAGATTCCTCCCTGAAATTATTTCTTTGTTCTAGCCTAAGATTTAGATTCCTGCCTGAAATTACTTCCTTCTTCTAGCCTAATGTCAGACTCCTGCCTGAAGTCCATTTCCTTACCCTTGGTCAATGTCAGATTCCTGTGAAGCAGTCCCCCAAAACAAGGCTGAGCCTGTCTAAGGTTGTTCTGAAAAGAATGCCTTCCTTACCAGTCACAGAATATGCATTATCAAAAGCAATGCAATTCTGTCTTAGGTTGGTAAGGCTCTGTGCAGAATCTTACCTGTCCTTGGATTGTCAGTCTGTTCAATTAATAACTCTGTCTGGGGGTCCATTTTCAGTTTCAAGCCATGTACATTGGCTGCCAACATGTTGATGCTGTTAAAGACAAGCTTTAACATTATGGGCAGGAATAAAAAGTATTCCCAGGACAAAAAGGACTAGCATAATCAAGCTATATATGCCATTCTTGAAACTTGATCAAAATGTAAATATTGACCTCAGGCTATATATAGTTTTATCATCAGTATTGCAGCATCAAAGCTCAGTAGAGCAGCATTCTTTGAATTCATAATGTCACTATGCACAGTTAAAACATCCAGAGAGGTGTTAGAATGATGCCAAATACACTGCAAGTGTCTTTAAACTTTTTCCTAATTATAATGACTACCACTGTACATTTTAGAAGTGACATATCCATTGGAATTTAGCATGACACTTGAGATGGCTTCTTACACTTAAACTCTGAACCTCTGTCTAATTATTTGAATTCGATAAAGACCATCAATCTGTTGTTCCAAATGCCTTTCTAATTCTTCTTGAATACTCAGCACATTAGTAAATTTTTTTTTTGCTAAATGATTAACAAAAGTAGCTGTCTTAACTTCTTATGTCAAAGCAATTGCAGAAGCAATGGTACTAGCTATTAATGTAATTAAAGCTGTTATATCAGCAATAATCAAGCCCACTACCCTCTTGCTTATGCTTAAGGCCTGATTCACTTCTTCCAGTACCTGCAAGCTTTTTTCGGAACACCAATGTTCTGTAATATTCAGGGCAATAAAATAAAAGCTGATTGATATACCATCATAATAGACATGCCAGGTTTCAACACATTAACACAATTAGAAAGTGTACAATCAAAACAACTTACATTAAATACTGTAGAAGAAACAAAAGTAATTTTAACTTGACAATTGAAAGAGCCTTAATACATGCACTAACACTTGTTTGAAATCCAGATCCTTTCCCAACTTTGTCTCTTGCTAAAATAACATCATAGAGAGCTGCAGCTAACTTCCAAATATGCCTCTGAAAATGTCTCTTTCAAATGAAGACTTTTTTCCCCAATATTGGAGTGTTTTCTAGACCAGTTCATGATTGAGTTCAAATAACTGGTCACATTTAAGAAAAATACAAAAGTCATTATAACATGGTAAATAATAATAAAGTCACTCTAACAGCCTTATGATTGGTTTTTACTCCTTCAGGGTCTGAATGGATGACATGACTGCAGGAAACCATTGCACAGTGACTGAGTTCTTCTTGGCTGGGCTCTCAGAGAAGCCAGAACTCCAGCTGCCCCTCTTCCTCATCTTCATAGGAATCTATATGATCACTGTAGCAGGGAACTTGGGCATGATTATACTGATTGGGCTCAGTTCCCATCTGCACACACCCATGTACTATTTTCTCAGCAGTCTGTCCTTCATTGACTTCTGCCAGTCCACAGTTGTTACCCCTAAAATGCTGGTGAGCTTTGTGACAGAGAAGAACATCATCTCCTACCCTGGATGCATGACTCAGCTCTACTTCTTCATCATTTTTGCAATTGCAGAGTGTTACATTTTAGCTGCAATGGCGTATGACCGCTACATTGCCATCTGTAACCCGTTGCTTTACAATGTAACTATGTCTTATCAAATTTACATTTCCTTAATTTTAGGAGTGTATATTATTGGTGTGATATGTGCATCAGCTCACACAGGCTTCATGGTTAGAATTCGATTCTGCAAATTAGATGTGATCAATCACTATTTCTGTGATCTTCTTCCCCTCTTGAAGCTTGCATGCTCTAATACCTATATCAATGAGATGCTGATTCTATTTTTTGGAACTCTGAACATCTTTGTTCCAATCATAACCATTATTACTTCCTACGTCTTCATCATTGCCAGCATCCTGCGCCTTCCTTCCACTGACGGCAGGTCCAAAGCCTTCAGTACTTGCAGTTCCCACATCTTGGCTGTTGCTGTCTTTTTTGGATCTTTAGCATTCATGTACTTACAGCCATCATCAGTCAACTCCATGGACCAAGGGAAAGTGTCCTCTGTGTTCTATACCATTGTTGTGCCCATGCTGAACCCCTTGATCTATAGTTTGAGGAATAAAGATGTCACCATTGCCTTGAAAAAAATAATTGAAAGAAAAACATTTACTTAGTTATAAATAACGTAAGGATTATTTACTAGAGCAAGATTTTCCATAACAAATAGTTTGTATTGGTATTACTCATTTTAATCTACTTGTTAATTTTATTACTCATCTTCTAGGACATGTTTGTAATTGTTAGTATTATAAATTTCAAATTTAATTTTCTATACACATATTACCCCATATTCTTTCACAGTCAACAATGCTAACAAATAGTAAAGATGACATGTTTCCATATTCCAGTGTTCAATAGTCCATCATATTGTGTGTATATATAGATCTATTTATATATTTTCATATTTTATAAACATTCACCTAAAAATAAACTTAATTGCAACAAAATGATACTTTTTGAATTATTTTTAATTCATTTTTGAGAATGTCATATTTAAGTCCTGAAATTACACCATTCCTCTCATCTCCCTTCAACCATTCCCATGTTCCCTCTATATTTTTTCTCAAATTAATTGCCTGTCTCTGTCTCTTTCAGTTGTGTGTGTGTATGTGTGTGCGTGTATGTGATTTTAGGTAAACATAAAATAATATGATTCCCTATGGCTTTTTCAAACATACTTGTATCTATTCTTCTTTTTTATTTCTCTTTCCTTGTGATTTCCTTTCTCCTTCTCCAATGAATGCACCCCACGTTGTCCTATTTCCCTCCTCATCACACCTGCTATTCTCCTCTATAGAGTGAATGCCCAACCCCATCATCTATTTTTATTTTTTTGGTTTCTGTAGTAACTCTAGATTATACTCACACCCAAAGTTTTCGATTTAAGTATCTCCAGTAAGGGAAAGGCTGTGGTGTTTTTCTTCCTGGTTCTTAGCTTATTAAATATTGTCTAGTTTCATTTATTTACATGAAGATTTCAAGATTTTTTTCTTTTAGCTAAATGGAATAGCATGGCATATATGAAGAACATTTCATTTTTAATTCATCAGCTAAAAATCATTTATGTCATTTCCATTTCCTAGTTACTATGAATATTCTGTACTGAGCATGGGTCAACAATAATGTACAGTACAGATTGTCAAGACCTTTGGGTATGGGCCAAGAAGTAGTATTTTGGAGTCATACAGTAGATTATTTATTTAGGATTCATCAAGCTACTCCCAAAGTAGATGCATCAATTTGCAATTCCATCAGCAAACAACGAGGGTTACCTTTTTCTACATCCTCCTCACATTTATTGTCTTTTGTTGGTGTATTTTATTGTGACTGGGGTGGGATGAAATACCAAATTGTGTATTGCTTTTTGTTGTTTGCTTGCTTCTGTTTCTAGTATGATGACTTCATCAAGCTGCGCTGTTCCTAATTTACATTCAAAAGATGGGTATTCTTGTTCCCCAGTTCAACCACTCAAGAAACATGCTCATAAACACTGCAGAAACTGTATTTCCATTGTGATCCTGAATATAGTAGCTGGCAGTAAAAAGAACTCATCACAAAGATAGTGGAATGAAAAAAAAATGAGAATTCCATTGAGAATTGGATTGAGAATTGGAATGTAAAACAAGGCATTTGTTTTACATTCATTTGACTTCAGCTTGTCTTTGTCCTTATATTTTGTGAGAGACTCGTCTTCCACCTAAGATAGTGTCTTAAAACAAACTTTTGCGTGGTTTAGTGAAGAACAATCTTGGTGATGTGAAACAGTCTGTATTTGTAGGTAGAATGCTTTGAAAAGTTTATGTGGATGTAATTTTAATTATATTACTCAAGAATACTCAGTAACATTTTATTGTAATAATATGTAATAGGTAGAAAATACTGTCTATGGCAGTATTATCTTTTGAAGGGCTTGTACACAAATCACAACTATTAAAAATTATTTAGAAGAGTAAACAGCTCCCATTCTTTTCAGTGATTATAGTAACCAGAGAAAGAGACCATGAAAATGTTGACATAAACATCAGATTGATTCTAAAATAGAGAACTGAAACATTAAAATGAGGAAGTAAAATGACACCAAGGAAGGAGTAGAATCATCAAGAAGATAGGAGCTAACAAATAGGAGTTGTCAAACACTATTACAGAAGAAAATAGTTTATCAAAGATTTGATAATTGAAAACGTAAAGTAGATTTTTTTCCATAGGGTCTCTGACTTGTTTAGAGAGAGATCATTGATTCAATTATGGTGCAAGATATGGGTTTCATCTTGTGCATCAAGCCTTAAATCCAAACAGAAAGTGGTTGGATTTCTAGATATTTTCATGTCACTATTGCACCAGTGGGCATATCAGTCTAATCTAGTTACTGTTATTGTTCTTTTATCTTAAAGGATTTACAACAAGGTAACATGTGGCAACATATACAAGCTGGGATGACATGTGTACAAATCCAATGTAGATGAAATCTCAACATGGAGATAAGAAGTGAGCATGAAGTTATACCTATAGCTAAGGAACTATTGGTAGTGGGTAGCTTCTGGGAGATTGACAGTCACATTTCTTTAAGAGTATAGCCCCTCATAAACCAAACTCATTCCAGTGGAATGCCACACAGTCAAGAACATATGGTTCAGAAAAGATTGGACTTGATAGGAGGGGAACAAAAGAGGATACAAAATTGTGTGGGTAGGAATAGGTTTAGAGCTGATAAGAAGGAAGAAGGATATAAATATTTTATGCAATTCTCAAAAAATATAATGAAATATTTAAAGCTTTATTATTGAAAATGAGTATGAAAGAAAGACATTCTCTCAATTTTTACTGACTTAGGTGTAAATGAAAAGTGCTTTTAATAAGTGGATATTAGTCCAAAAGCTCACAACTTCTAAGAAACAACGTATAGACCACATAAAACTCACATAGAAGAAGGAAGACCAAAGTGTGGATCCTTTGGTCCTTTGTAGAAGGAGTATCAAAAGTTTCAACCAGAGCTTCCAGAGTCTAAACCGCCAGCCAGAGAGCACAAAGGGAGGGACTCATGCACCTGTATAGGGAATTGAGGGTGACCTTGTTAGACTTCAGTGAAAGTGGAGGGCCATGGTCCCCGAAAGTTTGGATCCCCTATTGTTTGGGAATTCGAGAGCAAGGAGAAGGGACTGGGAGGATGTTTGGAGCACACTCTCATAAAAATAGGAGGAGGGGGTATGGGATAAGGAGTTTTGGGGAGAATGGGAGAGGAGATAACATTGAAAGGTAAATACGTATAATATCCAATAATAAAAAAAAACACAGATAAAGGGTCTAAAAAAAAAGAGAGGGAGAGAGTTTACTTATTTTAAATTATTTTGAAAAGTTTCCAGGAGTTGCAAATTGGCTAAGATCCTATTTTTAGCTCTACACAAAAGAATATAAGTCTCTGTTCAATATTCTCAAGAGAGAAGTAAATTTTAATTTTCCTCAACAATTAATTGACAAAAGAGAGGTAATCTGACAAAAAGTAGAAGCTATTACTAATAGATATATTATATAGTCTGATTAGTTGTCGGTGGTGCTGTAACAGTCCTTTGACAAAAGATTATTAATATAGATTTATATATCCTTAAATAGGGTCTTCATGACTCTCTGTGTGTGGAAGGAGCGATTGTTGGCGCTTCTGCCCTGATTTTACAAGAACTCTGAAAAATTGGCTTTAAAAACAAAAGAGGAGGAATGGTACCCCCCCCAGAAGGAGTCCCCCTGAAATACTCTCCATCATGCCTTGTTCACTTTTATCTCTCTAAAGCTGAAAGTTCATGGCAAATCTGCTGCTGACTGCCTCTGGCACCATCGAGACCAACACAACTTTATCACAGATATGGGGAAGGACCCTCTTACCCTTAAAGGGAATGGCCCAGACCCAGTTCCCTTATGGAGCCGAGGATTGATATGCCTGTCTGATATCACAGAAGGCACAGCTAACCGGCTACCAAAAAGATTAATGAAATAAGTAGATACCCCCAGAAAGCCAGGCCCAACCATAAATAAGATGAATAACAATTTACATCCAGGGAAGACAAATCTCCCTGAGAGTTCCCTTCTTTTTCCTTTCCAGGTAAAAATAAATCACCTGTGATGTCTGCTGTTAGAAGTTCTAATTCAGATGCTGGCCTCCGATCTTATACTACTCAGAACTTTGAAGGGGCCACTGACAAGAACATTAAACAGGTAGAGATTGACATCACTAATCTGAAGAAATCCCTCGTTTCACTGTCTGAAGAGACCTCCTAAAATCGCAAAGATCCTTATTGGACTTGATTTACTCTATTACAATAGAAAAGGCTGTGTACAGCTCTTGACTGTGTACAGCCCTTAAAGAAGGTTGCCTTTACATAGACAAGACAAGAAGGGTTAAAGAGAGTATGAAATAGGTCAGTGAAGGCCCCTAGAAAAATCAGAGAGAGAAAGAGATGGATGAATGCTGGCACAAGAACTGGTTTTCAGCCTCTCCAAGGTTGTCAACCCTATTTCCTCCCATCTTGGGACCATTATTTGGGTTCTTTTTGCTTATTTCTTCTGGTACCTGGGCCTCAAATAGGCAGACTAACTCTGTGATACAACAGACAAATAATATGGTAGCAAAACCTACTCAGATACATTACCATAAGTTAGCTATGGAGGACCATGAGACTCAAGATGAGGTTGTTACTTTATACAGGGTGTTCCCAAAACCCATCTCCACCCAACCTAAAAGGGGGGACTTCTGCCCCTAGACCAAGCAAAGAGGGGCCACCCAGAACCCTTTCTGACAGGTGATCTGAATTCTTGCTTAGGCTGCAAGGCTAAGCACTGCAAGGGAATATAAATAAAAGATAAAAATATCTATCTGGGTTCCCTGAGGGACAAGCCTGACTGCATAGGGGTTGATGTCAAAAGTATCCCCTCTCTAGGAAAAAGACATCGGGATGGGTATGGCCCTCATGCCTCACTGGACAACGACAGGGGGACTGGAGCCAGTACATGGTCCCCTTCAAGAACTGGAGGTCAGGACTCTATCCCTGCCTTCGCAAGATTAGAACTGCCACAGCCCTTCTATACTTAGAGAAGGGATGAGATGTCAGGGGCAGCCCGGCTTATACACTGAAGGCCTAAAATCAGCCATAGGCCTAAAATCAGCAATAGGCCTGTCATACATGTATACTAACACCAAGTCTTGGGTCTCAGTGGAAAAACACTGAAA